TAAAACCGCCTCACAGCCTCTCCCCTAAGTGCTCATAACAGCAAAAACCAAAACCCAACCTCTGAGCTCTGTGGGGCGCAGTACAGAAAGAGCTTGTCCCACGAGAGGAGCTCATAGTTGGTGTGTCAACAGTAGTGGCAGGTAACCCACAGGAGTACCCTGCAGCAACCCCAGGAGGAGAACTTGTGTTGAACCAGTGAAATAGCGTCTTTTAGGCTTTTAGGGAACTGGCCAAGCAAGCTGAACGTGCATGTGCTTACAGCAGGCAGAGGAGAGATGCTGAACACATGCTGCCTGCTATCAGCAGCCCTGCGGTTGCCAAGAAGGGCAGCTACACCATTACATAAACCATCGCACAGTACACACTGTGCAGCCAGACGTCTTGTTTGTGTGCGAGTGGCTCTGCGTAGGTATGTGGGGAAGTTCAACCTGTTAAGGTTCGTGATTTAAATTTAGTACCAACAGACAGCATTCCCTTCCTTTTTGAAACGGAGGAAGAGAAATGGAGGTGCATGCAGCATGATAGAGCAAATTTATCCTGTCAGAGAAGGCTCAAGTACATCTTGTCTTTTTGACAGATTCTGTGCTATCAAGGCCAAAGAGCAGCTCTGATTCTCCTACAACACTAGTAGGCATTTCATGCATTTAACCCTTAGAAAACTGGCTGGCTTACAGCAAAATAAAAATACATCTTTCGAAATTATCTCTGCGATTGTGATAATTTAATTCAAACAGCGTAAAGCAATTAGTCTGCATAAAGAACTTATAATAGACTAAGTTCCTTTTCTTTTTTTTTTTATTTTAGTAGCTATTTCTAGCTCATTAAGCACAGAAACCCCTTTACACTCAGCTTTTTGACTGCACTCCATCGATTCAGCCCAATCAGCACAGATTTTCTCAATCTAGAAACAAAGCAAAATGAAACAAGGGAAATTAAACAGTGAGTAGATCAGTCATCTCTGCTCAGCTTTTCAAGCTGCTATAACTGGATTTTTTCAGTTATGACATGCTAAAAACAATAAGAAAACTGAAAACCATAGCTGTGATTTTAAAAGAGACATTATTTTTAAGAAAATTGAAACTTTATTATAAAATCAAACTTTCTCAGGTTTTTTTGTAAGTATATATCTTCAGACCTAACTTGATATTCTACTCAGAATTGGAAAAGCGTTTCATTATTTGGTTTTAAAAAGAGACAGTCCTCCCAGCACTGATCTATCCTGGTATGCAGAGGAATAGCCTGGCATGTTGTAGTCAGCACTAAACACTACAACACTTGCTTGCAGTCATACCACAGTATTTATTTCAGAAGCTGTTATCTACTATTTGATATAAAGCGTATGGTCCTACAGATCTGGGGATATTTTAAAATATTTCATTGTTATGACTATTCTGCCCCATGTCTTCTTCAATAAGACCAAGCAGTGCTGAGGTAGCTGGACTCACAGAGCAGGCAGGAAGGATGGAATAGGTTACTCCACATCTTTATGGCAATGGATGGACTTTCCTTGTCACAGACGAAGTGTGCTTTCTGCATGGCTGGGGACAGTAGCAGATTTTTTTAATTAAAATTTGAATTTAATATTTATGAGTGCATTCCCTGATGTCTGAATCCAAGGGCAAGCCCTGCTGTGCTTGACTCGGTTTCTTGGGAGAGGGCTCAAAAGGACCTGCAACTGGAGAGAGCTGAGTCTTTCTGCTTGACTGCTCCAGCCTGTCAGGCAAGGACGAATATTCAGGGGATAAAGATTTCCCAATTCTCAATGTCCTTCACCCAAACATCATTTGCTAAGGACAGCCATATGTTAGCTCTCGGCCAGTTCCCAAATTTGCAGATGTTGACAGAAGACCTTGTTGTTAAGGCAGGCCCTTTTGACACCACATGCAGCCTAAGGCTGTGAATTTCTGACAAGCTGCTCAACCAGCACATCATGCTTAGGGTGACACGCACGTTCCGATGAGAACTGTGAAAACCGTTCTGGAATCTTTCCCCTTCCTCCAAGTCAGACCCACCAACAGCATCAGTACTCCTGACTTGGTGGTGCTGATGGGGCTGGAAAGTCTGTCAGTGCAGTCAGCCAGAAGGTAGCACTCTCCACACCCAGCTTCCCTCCTACACAGTGAAGGAGGAAGCAATCACAGCTGTTTGGACCTAAATTTTTTTATTCTGAATGATTATGAGAGTCAGGCATATTCCAGATGATCTACATTTTCTGTGAACAGAAGACTTAAAAAGTCAGAAAAGGTATCTCGTATGGTAAGCATTTACAAATGTTTTTTAAGAAGTATACCTAATGTCCCAGGGTTTAATATTTAAAAAGTCTTCCTGTAATTTATTTAAATTTCTTTTCTCTTGTCCTGTTTTCTACAGCAGAGGGGTAGTTGTATCTCTATGCATTTGAGATGTTGTCCACACGTTTTACTATCACTTTAGAACTGCATCAAAAGGGTAATATCTGGCTTCTAGACAGAGAATTCAAGAACATGAACTCATTGTGCGAGACACTGAATGTGACAGCTACATGACAATGAACTATGGAAATTATATAGTAGTTTTGCACAACCAAAGGAAAGGTCAAAACGCTTACAAAAGTACTTGTTATCCTACCTCTGCTACCGAGTATTTTATTGTTTGAGTTTTACCATTAAATTGAATGTAAACATAAAAAGGGAAGGGATTGTTTAACATGAGTAAATTGGAACAGTTGAATAGTAACTTATTTTTGATAGGAAATACAATACTTTCTTCCCAGCTTTAAGAATTAGATACAGTCTTGTCAATCAAGGGTTATTTTGTGCAGTCCTGGAGTAGGCAGCGCAATCTGCACACTGCTGTTTGTTATAAACTAGTGGACTGACTCTGGATGCCAATGGATATTGGCATTCAAGGTCATTTAGACTCTTTCAATTCAAATTTCAGAAAATTCAAAAAGAAATTGCCATTTTCCATAGGCCTTATATATTATGAGTGACCAAATACATTGACCTTTTTCAAGCAACTTCTGAAAAATACACAAGGAGCTTCACCCATCAGCTGTGCTCTTTCTTCAAGGTTTGCAACAAAACTCAATACCTTTTTTGACCTATAAAGGCCAATTTTTTTGCAATTTGTGAATGATGATTTAATGTAATTTGTGATAATTAGTTTTGGGCAGAGTGACCCAAAGAGGCATGGACCTGTTTCCTTCCCATTAATTAATCTCAGAAGTTTGTTTATAAAAATAAAAGAAAAAAAACCCCAACCACAACAGATCTTCACAAAAGCTTGTCTGAGCACTTTTTTCAAATGACAGAAGTGGTTGTAATTATTCTATCCATAATCAATGGAAGTGTAACTTCTGGATTTCACATAATCACTATATATGTGATTTTGACTGCTGGGTTAATAAACAGTGTTTCGCTATTCATGTACTTTTTCTTGTGTTGAATGATAAATTGTACATATGATCATAAAATCACTTTTCTAAAAACCAGCTATCAGTTCTGTTATCCTGTAGTCAATAAAGACTGCTAAAGAGAAGTACAAAGGGAAGACAAGTAAACAATTATGGAGATAAAAAAGAGCTGTTCAGAGAAGTCACAAAGGCTGCGATTTCATATCCAAATAGCTGATTTCCATTATTTTTTTTCCTTAGGGTAAACTACTCCATTTAGATTCACTGTTGCTGATAAATTATCTTACAGATTTTTAATTCAGGAAATAGGGTTTGTTCTTTCTTAGTGACTGCCTTTCCATCAGCTTTAATGACCCTGATATTAAAGGGCTCAGAGACTGTTTACACTTGTTTTCAGCTTTGGGGCATTAAATTACCCCGCACAGGTCTTCAAAACTCAGGTCAAATTTCTCAGTAGCGCATCATACATAGTATTCATGTAGAGTCCATCCAGATACTAGCATTTAGCTTTATTCTTGGACTGATTTTGATATCAAGTACATCTAAATGTCAAAGCTTCATGTATAAATCTAAGAATACTTGCAATTATTCCTCTCCAAGAAGGTCAACTAGATCTACAGTGTTTGGTTCTTTTGGTAACTAAAAGATATGTTTGTTTGTTTGGTTGGTTTGTTTCTTGGTCCAAGAGTTCAATTACTTTTCATTACCAGTGGAGTTGGAATGGTATAAAGATGAAACTGAAATGTTTCATCTTGGTGAACTATTGAACTACGAGCAGGAATCAAACCACCACATCAGAAACTGGTTTCTCCCAGTCCATGGTTGTACTGTAGCAATTCAAAGGTAAATTTGCCTCATGCTGATTATACATTCATCATGCATTCTGTCCTTCATTTCAGTTTCTTATGTCCTTATAGTAGTTGAGTCTTGTCACCTAAATTCAGAATAACTCATAACAATTCATGCTAACAATTAATTTACACCCCTATCAAGGCCATTGGTCAAGAGTCTGTGCATAGCAAAAGACAGTTATTGCTGTCTTCAAAATATTAAATGATTATGGTCATAAGTAATTCAAAATTACTAATGGATAGCTATTTTGAGAGATACTGTCCCCTAGATTTTTAATGAACCGGAACAGAAACTTGCATTAGTCAAACTAGAAAGAACTAAAAAAATCTAAACTTGCTTTCAGAAAGCCTGTTTAAAATAAATGCATTGATTAACAAAATGTTAGACAAATAGAATTAAATTCTGTCATTGTTGCTCACTGATTGCCTTTTGCAGTCCTGAAAACAAGAGTATACGAAAACAATGGTATGCCTAATTAAATACAGTGCTCCCTAAACTTATAAAGATTGCCCATTTGCTAAGTTCAAGTATTTATTTAGAGAGGATGTAGGTTTTTTTAAATACCACATCCTTAGTGTCAGGAATGTTTCAGAGATAGTTAAATTGTTCCATCCTTGAACTAAAGCTTTAAAACTTACATGAAATATGAAGAATACTTCCAAAGTCTTTGATGATTTTGTTAACAAATATGTTTTATTTAACATGTAATGTCATAAGATTAAACTCAAAATTAATAAAGTAAAATATATGCTTTTCCAGATATAATAAGATTAAAAAAATAGTATTTTAAAAGTACCAAAATCCCCTCAATGTGTTGTTATTTTCTCTGTGTTTTCATTATTGTTCTTTCAAACACGGTGCTTATTCACTGTATTTCATCTGTAAGGCTTTTGCCTTCATCTCTGGCTCACTTAAAAATCTATTAAGAATTTATTAATTCCTTTAAAACATGCAAAAAAACCCCCAAAAACACAACTTCCAAGAGGAAAAGCCACATAGCCATAGAGCTGCAGAACTTACTGCAAGAATACTGATAAATAAAACATCAGTTATCATCAGTTAATTACAGTTTAAGCTTAAATCCTTGGTTGGTGGAAATGGGCAGTCGCTGACTACAGCAAAGCCTATAAGCACCAGCTGACTGCCAGCTTCCAAGTTCCAAGTCATGGCAAGGTGCTTTGTCTCTCCATGAAACAGAGTATTGTATATCTGAATAATATTCCATTATAATTCTTACACATTGCTAGCAAAGTTACATTTTCAAAGGCAGTATATTGATTCTGAGTCCACCCCAATATATACATTTAAAAAAAGGTTTCTCTGAACAGGTAAAAGAAACCCCGGGTCAAACTATTGCATAATATGAAAAAAAAAAATCACAAGAGTGCGTATATGTATGGATGTATGTATACATGCAGAAGAAAGCCACATTGCCACTTGCACCTACCACTATGTGGCATTTACTGCTGTGGACACAGGCCTGTCTTGGGTCACAGAGTACATTTACATGAATGTAAACTTTAGCCCTTGGTTCAAGAGATCCCACAATGAGATGTTTTCCTATTAGAGAAAGGAGCAAGAATAGGGCCTGCCTGGAAGTGGAACTCTATTTCAGGCATCTGTATGTGAAGCAGGACTTGCCCCACTGAAGCTGCAAAATTAAAGCTTTATTGCGAAAAGAAGAAACTATTTACACCACATTGGTAGCTAAGTTAGTATATGAAATTTATGGACTTCTGTAGAGCAGATATTAAATGATTTTTTCCATTTCTCACCAAGCAAATCTGGTAGAAACAATACCGTGTTTCCCACTAGCTTCATGATTTTGAAGTGGCCAAGCTTAGAATGGCAACTGAATGTACTGAAAGGCATCAGCACTGCGAATTAAATGTTCACTTCGAGCTCCCTCTCAATGACATTTCTTCAGCAAGTGAAGAGTTATATTTTTAACTGCAAGCATGGTTTCTGTGCAGGTTGGTTTGATCAGCATCTCAGGAAGTAAAAATCCAAAATGGCCAGTGTCACGCAGCTCAAATGCAAATGCGTAGGGGATGCCATTTTTGTAGGCCCAGTCCATAGAGCTGCCAGAACTCACATCTGAAAGAGGAAATTCAGAGAAAATTTTAAAAGATGTTAAATGCAGGTCATGTTGAAACTAGCAGAGGGTTCATGTGGCATTTTGTCTCTGTGAATATACTTGCAACTCAAACTGTTACTTGCTCTGATCCTGAACACCCTTTCGAGAAGGGCACGGGCCCCCAGCACCTGGTGAAAAGTGCTCAGCACGATATGGATTAGACACTTGATTTTCATAGGAAAAATATTATAACTGACTGTTTTGTGTAAAGCAAAATTTTAATAAAAGAGAACATTTAGAATAAAGCCTCAAACTGTTTCTTGTCCTCATCTGAGTGAAGTCTAAACCTTTCCTTCTACAATGATCTCCCAGCTGAACTGGAACTCTGTGTGCTCCTAGGTTTAACCTGGGTTTTTTAGGCAATTCCTTTTCAGGGGGAAGGGGAACAGTTGATAAAGTAATCTAGCTTCTCCTTTTTAAAGTGCTTTTAAAATTCTTTTCATTTGTCTTATATTCTCACCATTTCCTCACAGCATGAGAGCATTTGCATAGGTGGTATCTAATATTAACAAACCTTCCCAAGGAAGTGTGCTGCTTATGCTTTCATTATCTCCCTAACTTGATTACCCAAGACACATATTTATATAAAGATCCATCTCTCACGTGGCCTGCTGTAGTCTGTGCAATTCTGGGATTAATTCATACTGCTTTTCCTTTGACATAGGACTGACTGCACTGTAATGAGCACAAGATGATGACCATGCTGTGAGACTGAGGCCCACAGTAAGTGGAGCTGTAGCCAAAACACAGAAACAGCAGAGATGCAGGAGATTGTCTGTGAAAAATCTTAAGCTTTTCATTTTTTCAGTGTCTGTTATCATTATCCACAGCAGGCAGGCCTCATAGTTTCAGTAAAGAAAAAAAAGTGTCTTGTTGAAACCTGTTGAACTTCTTTTTCTCTTACCTGTCAACAGAGAGCTTGCTTGACAAATGCTGTTACAACTTAGTAGTGCATTTGCAGATAATGATATGCTTTCTAAGATCTTAATTTATCTTTCTTTTTTGAAAAACATGGTTTTATATTTTATGGGTATGTTATTGCTGGCTTTTGCCTCTCTTATGCATTGCATTTTAATCTCTTTCATTGCATCAGTTGACTTAATCTTACTGCAATCAACTGACTGAATCAGTTGCAAAACTTCATCTTCCGCCTTCCTCACAACCCAAAACTGGGTCGAAGTTCACTTTAAACAGTGTTTGCTTTCTTTGTTATAATAAGGGTATTCTCCTTCTTGGTATAGGAAGGTCAAAGTCACAAAATCTGCCAGAGGAAAACTTACACAAAGTGCTCGAAGCAGGACCGTATCTGTATCTTATACCATAGGCTGACTGAAGAGCGTTAACAGCATTATAGGCTGCTGATTCCTGGGGAGAAGGAGAAAAAATAAATACATAAATTAGACTTTAAATTAAATAATGTAATTGGATTGGAATCTGAGTTCAATGGATGACTGTCTTCCGGCGCAATGCTGTGTTCAGTGAGACTGTGGCAGCTAACTTAAAATTACTGCAAAAGATAAATACTTTTTTTTTTTTATTGATAGCTGTTCCCTGAAAATCCTGGTTTGATATTTTCATGGCATATAGAAGCTCCCTGCACTGTGAATGACCAGACATTAAATATCTGTAATTATAATTTGTATATATCAATTTAGTGATACAATGAATTTAGGCAACATGTGACACCATGAGATGAAATACTCTCTTTTTTATGCAGTTTAAAAGCCATGTAGGCATCTTCTGTGGCTGCATTTCCCAGTCCACTAAACCTTGTCACTGCTGAGCTTGTGAAGGAGAAATGATGTCTTGTTGACACTCCACAGTGGTTCATTGAGCAGAGTGGGAAGAAGGAAGGAGGCAAGTTCCAGGTGAATGTTCAGCGCTGGTCGAACTTTCTCTGGGGCCGCATGATGAAGTCTTGCATTATGCAAGTCTTGCATTTATACACTGTTGCATAAATGTGATTTCAGTACTGTACAGGGAAAATCAGCACCTACGTTTCAACACGTAGATGCAGTCTGTTTAGGAGGCTCACAGCATCCCGTAAAAATGGGTGCAGAAGGCCTGACCCGTGGCGAATTCTAAGGGTCACACACAGAGAAGAGATGCACAAAAGAAAAAAGAATACTATGATTCCAAAGATAAGTATGCTGGAGAATGTACAATGGAGGCTGGGCAAACACAGAGGCATAATCCCTTCAGAGGACAGGAAATTATCATCTTGGGACCTAGAAACTGCTGGACTTTGAATCACTAGGTAAAGCTACAATGGTTATATTAGTTGTTTAACTTCCGTGAACTAAAGAGCTACAAGTCTGGATTTATGCAAATCTTCATGAGCTCAGTCCTTACCTTGTTATTTGTCATGTTCTAGATGAATGCACATTACTCTATACTTGCCTTTCTGTATATGTTTTCCCTAACCTTCCACTTGGTTGCCCTTGTCAAGAGTCCGGATTCTGACTTAATCCTTGCTCTGACCCGTGCAGGCGTTCCTGCTGTGGGTCTTTGTCTGAGTAGAGAAGCCAGGGAAAACTGCTTTAAAATTTCATTCCAGAAACAAAAATAAATTAATTTTCACTTACTAATCTGCAGGTGGGCTTTGGAGAGTTTATTTTACGCTCTTAGCAAATGGAAGAGCACTTTTTTACTCCGTTATAAAAACTTGTTAAGCACAACCAGATTTTTTGTTTGTTTGTTTCTCAGCAGAGCGATGATGGTGCTGGAGACTGACATTTTCAGCTTGGCCTCTTGCCACCGTCATGAGAGAGTATATGGAGGTAAGGACCACTGAATTCAATGTTTCTGGGAACTCGGCAGGACTGGGATGTGGTCGCCAGCTGGTGTGAGGGGTAACCTCTGACTCACCCTAACACCGAAGATGAGGAGGTGGGAAGGGGCCCTGTCCTGCGGCAGAACGGGTAAGTGCTGTCACTTGGCACTCTTCCTCCAGATGCCTCGACTTCTGAGTGGTGACATGCAAGACCCGTGACAGGGCTGGAGGTGCTGAGACCTCTGAGGGCAGCGAGGTGGCAGTGCGAGGTCACGGCAGTGGCCGTGGGGCTGCGCAGGGCCCGGGGAGCGGGCAGCTCCAGAGGCAGAATGGGGCTGTCGTCTGGGGCCTGCACAGAAGTCCCAAGTCCCAGGCTCAGTTGCTCAACCATGCCAGGGTCATGGTGTGGTCGGGCTGACACAGGCCTGATGCCAAGGGAGTGGGAGACAGGGCTCAGCTGAGGGAGCTGAGAGGGGTGGAGAGCAAAGCCCTGGTAAATATGCCATGGCAAGGAGAACGCAGCCACAGACAAGAAGATGCCTTGGGCGTAAGTTACACGCTGTACAGCAATGAGACAACAGAAGCAAGTCCTATTGAAATCTTTCAAACAAATAGTTTGGCAATGCCTGTTTAAAATCAGCAGAGTGGTACTGGGTTCTGTGCAGAGGCAGTCTGGAGGTCAGGCTGGGAGTGTCCCAAGTCCATGTCCACCGCTTAGGCAGTTGTCCCTGGGCACTGTGAAGTTGAAGCTCTTAGCCTTGAAGGGTGCAGCTTGCTTCCACTGCTGGAGCTATGTGCCCAAAGAGACAGTTCTCTACTGTGTCATACTGTGCAGGCTGGATCCTGAATAAATCCAGGCAACCAGTATTTGAACACCCTCAAGGAGAAAATGCCACATAAAATTACCAGATTTTTACAAAGACATACACAAACTCGGTCATGCCATGTAAGTTCACTACAAACACTAAGGCAAACGACTGTACAGGAAGAAAAGGGATGAAAAGAGGTGAAATTTAAAAGTCTTGAGATAGATGTATGTTTTTGCTGGGTTTTTGCAATCTGAAAGAGTACTTTTATTTTAGGTATTTTAAAAGAACAGATTTCAGGAGAGTGTTAATAAGAGAGTTGTGCCTAAATTAGAGCAGAATATGCATGTTGTGATCAGTGCACAGCTCTCCAGTTTCAAAGCAGCTCTGAATAATTGATCACTTTAATTGAAATGGTAACTGACAGCTCACTAACATGATCTGACCCAGACAGAAACATCCTTTCTACTGCTCAGATTTAATTGTGTCCCCCTGCTGGCACCAAATGTTATTTATCTGCTGTGCATGTGGGGTCCCACAATTGTCCACTGTACACAGTCCAGGTAGGCAAACAACCTTCGTTCCATCAGCTTCAGGAAACAGAGATCCATTGCTTTCCAACTCAGAGTAATTTCCAAGAGAAATGGAGAATCTGAAACCTCACCCTAAGTCACCATTTTAGAGACTTCAAATATTAAAAAACTACTCATTTAGGAACTACCAGGTGATGAAGACTTTGGTTGTAGGCAAATATTAAAAACATACAAATAATTAAGCAACAGTATTTCATTCATTTTCACTGTGATCCCCATAACGAGCATTATAAATGACAGGAAATTACTTCAGTTTCTTTTTCCAACCTCCTTGTTCTTTTTGACCCACCTCAATAAAAAGAAGTATAAGGTCCAAATACTGGCAAAATATTTAGAATTAGGATTTGGCTTCCATTTGTCCAGGGCTGTTTAAAACAAGTGTCTTTCTTTGTTCCCTTAGGTCTGTGCTTTACTCCCTCCAATAAGGAGCCTGATCCAAGGCCTCACAAACCTTAGGAACACCTACTAAACATCAAAAACTGGGATCCTTTAGTCTAAAAGCTATGGATGGAAAGAGAGAGTGTGTGTGTGCTATGGGCAGTTACTCCCTGTCTCAGAATGGAAATATCCCTTGAGCAACAAAACCTGTGCTGCAGATACACTGGTATGTGTTCTCTCTTAGACAATCTTTCTCCTGTCTGTAGTGTCTGCCATTGCCTTACATTACTCTGGATAACTTCATAAGATACCCAATAATTATATACTAGCAGAGGAGATGCTGATTCTTCCTAACACCATGTCTTTATCACCTTCTCTGTTGCCTGTTCCGAAAAAAATATTCTTACATCTGCTGGTCTTCAAAGGAATTAGATTCTGTTGTTTTAAATTGCCAGTCTATGTTTTTTTGATATGTAATAGTCATTAATTCACTTGGGGAACTTCTTTCTCCATGTTACTCCCCAAAAGAGGGTGGAGAAGGAAGAAGAAAAAGAAGATTCATGATTCCCAGTCAATACAGGGCTGTGTGGTCAGTCCCCACAAGTCTCATATTTTTAGGTCCTTTGGCTGCTTAGTTAACTTCTGATTTGCTCTGTTCCACAGGAATGATGTGAGACAGAAGAATGTCTAGTAGCTGCTGAAATTAAGTATCTCAACAGAAATAAGCCTACAAGGAGAGTTTGGGTTGTGGAGTGCTGGCTGCTCAGCCTCTTGAGAGAACAGCCGAGCAAAACTTCAGCGAAACTCCAGGGACTGACAGCATCATTTATTCTGCAGAGGATAAATCTAAGGTGCAGTTAAGCTCCTTTGGAGAAAACTAGCTTAAAGTAGCAAGTTGAAGGTCACTGCAACTTGCAACTTTCAAGGTAAAAGTTGAAGATATATGGAAAATGTAATTTACTGGGGACTGAGGGTGACAGAAAGAGACTTGCAATTGGTTGATGCAGGGTGGATCTGTGAGCAGGAGCAAAGAGAAAGCAAAGCTTAGCCATATTTCTCTAAGAGAATAAGCCATAAGGACAGTTTTACAAACACAAGGATGGCTAAAACAGACTTCAGACTGCAAGCTGAAGGAATAGTTCTGCATTTGGATGAGCATAAAATACACAAAATATATCTATCTGTAAATCAGTAAGCTTCCATCAGAAAACATATTCTTATTAATTTATTCTAATATACAGAAGCCTCTGATGTTGATTAACTGCTTGTCTTAAACAGTTACAAGCACTGTTTCTAAGAAGAATGATACATAATGCAATTGAAGCTTTACTTTTGGTGGAATTGAAAGATTTCTCCTTGAATTGATAAATGTAAACAATTTCAATTTTTTTTGTTCATAACATTGAAGATGATCCTAATGTTTAAGTTCTGAACAAGAAGAGACAGAATTTCAGCTAGATGCCCAAGGACTTGACTACATAATTCCCATTACAGTTAATTAAATAAAATGATAATAATTATAATTAAAACCTAGGGATTTATCCTATAAAGTAATTTAAAGGGACTGATGGATGGAAAGCACTACACCATTTTAATCAAATTACCACTGACTCATGGTGAGTGAAGGTTATATAACCAGAAACGTGATTGCAGGCAAATCCAGAATAAATACCTCTCAATGTTAAATATATGCAAAATGTTGAAGAAACAAGTCTCCTCTCAAAAGAAAACATACAAAAAATATTATATAAGGGAGCACATTCTCCCAAGTTTTAGTGTACTTACCACACAGTTGAAGTTTGGAATAGTTTCATATTTGTAAGAGTAAGGGTACAGCAGCATCTGTGCATATGCATGGAAGGACAAATAGGCTTTTATTTGTTTCCTATGTTTGCGGAGGAAATGAGCAACAGCCTTTACTTCAGGCTCAGACTCAGGAAAGGGACCACAGTATGTGTCATCACATGGGTGAAATGAAGCACCTTCATCTAGAGATTGAAAGAAAAAGATGGTGAATGATCACAGAGAATTTCTAAGGGTCAGCTTCTGGCTCAACCTTTTTTGGCCCCCATGAAAAAGCATGAAAAACAATAAACACAGTGCTTTCTTGTGACTGATGAGCATGAGTCAGTGGGACCTCAGTACAGCAATCTGCTTGTTCATCTAGTAGACACACCAAGCTTCCAATTGGCCAACTACAGGCAGTTCTCCCTAGAGGACATACTCCTAACCCAACAGAAAGAGGAGAGCCTGACTTCATTGTCCTTTCTTGCCTGGCTTTCTGTATCAGTAGCACTTTTTATGACAGGATTTCCTTATTAAAACTATTGATGGGTCTCAGTTGGTCTGTTTGAAATCAGAGAGCTACACCTCTTTATTAGTCACTGCCAAGACAAATCTAGCCTTTAGGAGCATTTTAATGTACTGGCTACTACAGTTGTGGTTATAATGGTGGGTAGATAACCTCAACAGGCATTACCTTAGAGACTGGTTTAAAACATGAGAATGGTTCCTGACTAGACTATTTTCACCCTTGCAAACCTTGAGAGAAAAAAATGACAAGCCACATGGTATGATTGCTCAGTTAGTTAAAATAGAAATCATCTCAGTTTGTACAGGGTCTAAATTTCCTTCAAGTCTGGGGCAGGAGTTCAGTTTTGAGGATATCTTTCACTTCATCAGCCTGCTCAGGTGGCAGCAAGCTGCACAAGAGTAGCCTGCCTGTAATATCCCATGAGGTACTGAAAGATGAAACCTAGAAAAGAGGATGTGGTGGTGGCTCCTTTATCATTTAGCAATTCTAGATCTAAGCCATCATCTCATTTACAGCTTAAGGCCTGGGCCTAAAAGAACAATATTTATGCTAATCCACTCCAATCTTATCTGCTGTGATTTCAAAATACCATGCTTTGCAGTGACCTGCATACTAATAATAATTTGTTTGAGAACTTCCCTGGTGCCATTAGAGACTTACAAAAGCAGTGTTTTATTAGCTTTCCTTTGTACAGTTAGTACTGCCATCTTCAATTAATAAGAAAAAAGCAGTGTGTGAGAAGGCATAAAGATATCAACTAAACCAGGGTTATGCAATCAACACAATGCCAAAATTAAAAAGTGGAAGAATTTCATGCTGCAGTTTCATTTGTAAGATGAAAATTGAGGCTACCATTCAGTGGCCACAGGTGGGGATTTCAAAAGGTATTAGTGCTTGGATTGCAGTGGATGTGGAAGGGTTATATAGAGGGCAGATGGCCTCTTCCATGCCAAACAGATGGCCACCAAGCCATCGAAATCTCAAGAGCACTCTGCCTCGATGTCTTGTCAGATAATATAGCTAAAGGAGAGCTATTTAACAGAGCTTCCAGAGCCTTTGCACTTTTTTTATGGATACTTCATCTCCTGTAACAGTCTTGTATGCCGAATCATGGAAATGGATATCACTGTTAATAAACAGCGGAATCCTACAAGCTAAGGGTAAAATGACCCAGTGGAAAAATATGACTCAGTTTAGTGACTTCCAGCAAAGAAAAAACTTTCTGAACTGTCCAGCCCATTACTTTAAGCCATTTGAAATCCCAGCTGTAGTTAATGCTTTACCTGAAGAGAAGCTGGTTGTAGTAAAAAGAGGGAGTTTCCATGGTGGCCTTGGATAATGTAAGGATATACTCAATTTTCATACTGAAAGTTCTTTCAAAGTAACTCAAGAAGGAAAAAAAATTGATACAGTGTGTATCAACTCCTGTGAAATTTCTGAGTTACAGTCATGAGAAGCAAATGGAATTGTGTCAAATGTTACTATGCTGCCTTATTTTTGTACCTGATAGCATACCATGTGTCCTCCAACATCCATCACGAGATCAAGTGAAAAAAGGAAATGTGTGCTGAGACTGATAAAACCAATCCTTTGATACAGAAAGAATACTGAGAGGATGGATGAGCTGGGGCATGATTCTCAAACTTCCTTGCAGCCAATTCTGCCAGTATGGAACACTGTTCTCAGTGAGCACTGGGGTGCACTAGAAATTGGGGTGCACTGGAAATTCTAACTCCCATTGCTGCTCTCACAGGGATTTGGATGCAAACCCTTTAACTGGATTTGCCCTATGACACAATTTAGTTCTAAGTACCTCATTATTTGCTTTAAAGTTGATATTTATTTCATTATCATTAAACCACTATGCTGGTTATTGCACATATATACGTATTGCAAGGAGCATTCCCAGAGTTTTTGCTGTCAGTATTCACATGGATCTGTGTGCAATTTCTGTGCGCTATTTTGGGTACAAGGGTGCAGTAATGTGAAATCTAGCACAATCAGGGCTAGATTTGGCCTTTTTCTTGGTCCCTAGAGAGTACAGAAGCGGTATGACAAAGTTTACATCAAAGTCCTACACTAGAAGGGAAGAGGAAAGCAGACAGGATGCTGTGATATCTGTACTGACTAGCTCCCTGCTGCTAGCTTGCAGCGGCTTTGCTGGGGCTGGATTCTCACACAGCACACCTGCCTGGAAGCCCCACGGTGAAGTTCAAGCCTGTCTGCAAACTGAAGTGTGACTGAAGTGAATGAAAAGGTTTTTACAAGCACATGCAGTTTTAAATGTTAAACACACCATGGTTATGCAAGCCTCAAAGTGTGATATGATCTAGATTCTTCGCTGACTCATTTAGTGTCCAGGATCTTCTGAGCACCAGTCAGCCCAGTTCATGAAAGAGCTCTTTATTCTCCATCAAAATAGAGAATCAGACAGAGTTTGGGTTGCAGTGAGGGGAGCAGAGCATGTGCTTGGTGGGATGATGAGCAACCTTAAAGGAATTTTTTATTTTTTAAACTCAGGGCGAGGACCTGTCTTTCATCTTTAGTACAGGGGAGAAATGCAACAAGTAGGGGATTACAACATACAATGCATGTGGGTATTATTATGGTTTCACTCAGCCTAGAAAAAATAGGTTTTTAAATGAAAACTATGCAAACATTTTTAGGACTGAGTAAAAATGTGCTCTAATACAGTGGCTAGGGAGCAGGAAAAGGGAGGAGCAGAGAGATGTGAACCCAAGAAAGATTAATTAAGACTAGAAAGAAAATGCACTGAGTATTAATGTTGCAGTGATAGGTACCTAAAATATGTCTCCAAAGACTTCATAAAAGAACCGATCATTCCAACTATGCTGGTGGCTATCTTTTGAACAGTAAATGTATGTTCCCAAAATACCTGCGGTTGTGACTTATGCACCTGAAGAAATGATGATAGCAGTGATGCAGGACTGCTTCATCTCTACGTTATTTTTGCAGCATAGAATTGCCTTAAAGATTGTGACAGCAGCCCTGGGACTCAACTAACATAGGCTTTCTGTAACTAGTTCTATGTCAGTCCTCTCCTTACAGCAAGTAGAGTTGAAAAAATTTGGAAGCATGTTTCACAGGTCCATACTGTATTGAAAGTATGCTTCTGTTCACACTCACTGCATTTGTGAACTTCCCAGGCAGATTATTCACACTCACTTTTATCCTCACAATTCTCAGAACTCTACTTGAATAATCCAGTCACTGCGAGCCAGACTGTATGGTGCAAGTAATCAGAGTATTGTGGAAACATCTAGAGACTTCCAGAGGAAGAGGGATGGGCTGAAGGGAGGGCCCTTGCACTGGCATTATGCAAACACAATTTCTTGTCTTTACAAGCTTGTAGCATAAATAAGGAAGGTGGGTTAGTGCTGGAGGAGAAAAGAGCTGCACAGAGAAGTGAAGGAAGTCGTTCAAGATGGGAGAGCAGGTAAGCAGGTACAAATTGCCATGTTTCATAACAAAGTGTTCTTACTCTTCTACACCAGAATTGTAGGGCTGCTTACACCTGTGTGAGTTGCACTGTTTTATGTAAGATTTAATAAAATATTGTTTCTTCAGTGAACCCATTGCAAATCTTCTGCTAGTTATTTGATTACTGCTTCATTCTCTATGCAAGACTGAGGCAAATTTTTATGGAAGTATTTACAGAAGTGCTGGGAGATTCAAATTGTATCTCCATGCATTTAGAAGCACTTTCTTTCTCTATTGAATCACTAATAATAAAGGCCTTAACACCACTGAGGCCAACAAAGCAAGTTTGACATTTCCAAAACTAAAATAATTTCAGAGAAATGAAGAATTGAATAAAATGAAGTTTGCAATGTTTCTTAAAGCTGTAGTCAGGTAAATCCTGAAAAGTGATGGGCCAGTCTCAATACTGGGCTTCAAATTATTGATATGATTGCCAAAATACAGAATAGCTGTATGTGTGATTTTTTTTTTTACTTTTGCCACATTTTCCAGGAAAACTTTTTACTTATGATAAGGTCTGTTTTTCCAAAGATAAAAGGCGTATTTGAACCTTGGTTTGTGGCTTTATGGGAAAGTATCTTCAACTTTAACTGTGGAAAAGAGAACACAACAGATGGGATCTAACCTACTTGGATAATTACCTCTGATGGATAATTAAATACAGAGTAATCTGAACTAGGATACCAAAGCATCTCTGTACTTACCACACCATTTCACTTTCCAGTTGCGATTAGCATCAACACCATGACAGTGGAACCTCGTGTTCTTTGATCTTGTTTTTCTCCAAAATCGATCCTAACAGAAGTTACAAAGTGTTTAAACAGCAACAGTACTATATTTTGGCAAATATCTATTTGTACAAATAACAAATCAACCCTGATAAACACACTCAGTATTCTACTTTAACTGAAGTAATTTACTTCCATTTTGCAAGGCAAAAAGTGATGGACCAGATTATATAGAAAGTCACCTTTGAATGATGTACAACCATTCGCTCTTTCCTGTCTGAAAAATTTTTGACTAATACTACTGAAATTACTTACATTTGTCCAGCTAAAATGATATCCATCCACATTAAATACAGGCATGATATAGAAATACAGTTGAGTTAGCATCTTTCTCATGGCAGGATCAGTCTGATATGTCTGAAGAGCCTAAAGCAGAAAAGCCAAAGAAAACAGTTTCCATAATAAAAATAATTTTTCCAATTATGTGTTGTGACAGGCTAAGACAGTCATGAGGCCTTCAGCAGTACAGATATCTGATCTCATGGCACCACAGACATCCTTTGAGCTCTGCTTGAAACGCTGACGTCTTCCTACAAATGTGATTCAGGCAGCATGTGAACACATGAAAAATGTGTTTAAAAGACCCTGTTCTCTCTGCTTCTCAGCTACTTTCAGTAGTCAAGAAGAGACAACTGATATTACAGAGAAGCAAATGCATGCAAAGTATTTCTTGGTATAGGAGCTGAAAGTCAGTGGAATAGAGTCTTAGTTGAGGAAATGAGTTTAGCTCCCATAAGACAATGGGGTCCTGTTGCTTCCACCAGGTGACAATTTAATAAGGTCTTAAAGCATTTAAGGCTCCCATTACATAAGCTTTTGTTGTATGCATAATACATGCACAATTACCAATACAGAGAGCTTATTCCTTTATAACTTAGAAACCCCTTTAGTTTGGAGAATCTTAAGTATAAAGGCTCATAGAGGAAGGCTAGGGAGTGAAAGTATTTTTATTTTCCGCTCTGCATCTTAGAAAAACACAGCAAAAATCAGAGGCTCCTCAGCAGTTCTATTTGCTAGTGCCAGAGATGCTTCTTTACCAGTTCCACAAAGCTTGGACCCCACATGCTGTAGGAAATACTGTTCCTTGTCATAGCTGGGCACCAAATTTGCGCCCTTCAAAGCTTAAGTGTTGACTCTGTAAGGTGAGGAATCGAGTGCTTCATGTGGCAGGTGGAAAGTGTTTCACACTGATGCTGGGTTCAGAGGGGTGCCTGAGCCTGGCTCCTCTCCTCCTGGTGCTGTGCAGTATTTCCAGCCCTTCAGATCCAAAGAGTATCATGTGTCAGGGGGGCAAAGGGAAGTGTTTGCTCTGAAATAAACTAAGCTAAATGCTTTTCAATTGACAAATGACAGGGAACAGTGTGAAGTACAGGAATTCAATAGTTCTGGGCTCCTAACCATGCAGCTGTTTGAATTACTGAAGCTGCCATGGGAGCTAAGGGATGCTTTTAGTGGAATACTGGTAGGAAATAGCCATACAACTGGATGTGTCTGGTTCTGAAATTTACTCATGGAGAGGTCTAACATTTTTTTCTTCTCTGAGGGGATTAGTGAGACTTCTAAATACTTTGTCTAAGGGGTTCATTAACCACCTCTCTATTGTGTGGTGTTTTCTCCTTGCCCAGGCTCAGTCTGCCCTCCCAGCAGTGCTGTGCACATGCAAGTCCTTCAGCCTCACTTGCAGATCCAAAGCAGTGCATCATCCCTGAGCAAAGCCAAGTCATTCAGAGCTGCTCCACAGTGCTTCAGACAGGCAAGAGGAGGGGAAGGTGACCAGTAGAGGGCAAAGGGGCACAGCACAGAATAAAATGAGATTTAGGCAGCAGCTGGAACATCATGGTTTAGAGCACTGCAGGGTGGGATGAGATGCCAAAAGAGGGGTTACCACAGGCAGAATACACATATAACTAGGTAAACAGGACTACTATGTGTGTTAGGCTAGCCCTGCATGTAAATCTGCATAGGATTGAAAGCCTATAAGTTAAGTGTGGATGTGAAATCACTAAAACTGTTCTTACAGTGGAGACAGAACCAAGGCATGCTCCAGAATATAAGTCAAGGGAAATGAACATTTTTTTCCATGCTTATTTCAGGGAGAAGTAATTTAGCTGGGGAGAAAATGAGGCTACATACACCATTTCTTTGAGGTTTTTATGCTTTCTCTTTTTAGACAGTATCAGCAAATTAAGCTCAGGTTTTGCCCCTATGTTGGATATTTACATGATGATGAGATTGGCACATGTGCTTATATCTGTACTTATGTATGCCATTCTTTCACTGTCAGCTGCATCTGTAATTACACATTTTGCTACATTGTGGTGTTATATACTGTATTTTAAACTGCAATGCTGTAAGACTGAACACTTTAAAACACTTTCAAAATTATCTCCTTAAAATAACTACAGATAATTAATTAATTTAAGGTAATACACTGCTTAAAATTGCATGGATGAGCTTTGCAAATTTTTCAGAACCATTCCAAATTTGCAAAAAATGACATAAGTAAAATACTTGAATTAAGGCTTTTTAATACAGGTTTTAAATCCTGTGGAGAATATATTTTTCTTCCTAGATAAAAGCACCACCATTTAGAAACCTAAACAAAACATCAATAGCAAAATGCCAAGTAGCCCTTCATTTTTTTGAAGTTACTCTGTGTTATTTTAATGCCTGCTGTCGTTGGCAAAATATCAGGAAAGACTTTAGGAAGCATTATAGTCTCCCATAATAACATTCAAAACTTGAAGTCTTAAAGTTGATTTCAAGCCAAATATGTCAATCATTCAGTGCTGTTCTTTAAAGAATATATGAGTTTTCTTAATAACTTGATTATCCTTTTAGACTAGCATTTCGTTAAAAATGTAGTGGAACTAGTGCAGCTATCTTCTTCATGGAAAGCAAGAGGGTAGATGGTGTAAAGTGAGATCATATTCACTCTTTTTGCTGAAAACGTTTTGTCTTTCATGCTGCTTTTATCTGGCAATTTTATTTGGAGTATGTAATCATGTAACACAGACTGTATAGGCTCTGGCAATGTGCCTCAGAGTTACCAAGGTGTGTCCTTGCAGGAGCAAATCCCACAACTTCCCTTTAGTGACATGACTCCCAAATCCTCCCAAAACCGATCATGTGAACCAGCTCCCCCCCCCCCCTCCGGCAGTGTTGAAACGTTTTCTCGGTGTGTGACACAAGCGAGGCGAATATAAACCATTAGTGAATTAACCGCGTCGTAGTTTGCACGGAGCTCTCAGAGTATGGCTTGATACTGCTTCCCCATCATGCAATCAATAGCAGCTTTGCTGCTGAACGTGCAGAGAGCCAAACCGGCCCAATAAATGCTGAATAGTGTTATTAGTGAGTGAACAGATGACACAGGAACCCTGCCAATACCGTGCAAGCAATCCGCCTGGGGGATGGGGGAAAGGACCGGTGATTAATAGGAGGGGGCTCGTTCATCTGGATCAGCTGAGCGGTGGTTGTTGACAGAGCTACACCGGCTTAGGCTGGCTGAGGATCAGGTCCACAGGAAATTTAATTTAGGGGATGAAGTAAACAAAAGAGCTGTATTGTAAACTGCCAAGGCAATAAAAGGCAAGGGTGTAAAATGGATTTAGGACGCAGCTAGGCTTTTTATAAAATAAGGGGATTGACCAAGAAAGACAAAGCAAGGAGACAGGGTTGAGAGAAACTCTGAAATTGCAATTGAGCTTAATAACAATTTGCTATCCCACAACTAATTGTTATTAAATTTAAGGTGACAGTCAGCTTTTGCTGTTTCTGGTTTTGAATTAAACAATCACACTGAATTAAATAGTTACTATTTAGGGCATGGAATTGACTCTCTTTACTGTTGTACCAGAAATCACATAAAACTACTTCCTATAAAACAGGATTAACTCTTCCATGCCATTATTAAGATATGATTTAAAACATCTTTTTTGACAGTAACATACAATATTTTACTCTTATCTGTACATCTTACACTTTAGCAGGGTGACAGTATGATCTGCCACTCAGGCCTTCATTGACACTTTAGCAGTTTGACAAGTTAGTAATTAGCTGTGTCTTTGTACTTGGAAGCAGTACACCTTTTTATCTCCATTTTTCCTTTTACTGCTAGTATCCTGCTTTAGTATTCAAATCACAAGCAGAGTAGTAAGCCTGTTATTAAGGCTAAGATACAACTGAGTATCTGAAAACAAATGGCTTAAAGCAAAGGGTCAAATATTCAAGGCTGAAGCTTGAACTGTATCTGATGTATCTTCCTTCCTCTTTGGGAGCAGGAGAAACCCAGAAAAAAGTGAGGGAGATGACTGTGCTGCAATTGCTCTTCAACACTCAGGGGAGAGCCCACAAAAAGAGTCTGACAAGAAGGATCTGCAGAATCCCAATGTAAATGAGTGTAAACTGAGAAAATGCTGAAGCAGAGAAGAGGCAGATAGACGATGATGTAATGTTAGAGAAGCAAACAGCCATACCAGGAAGCTTGTGCAAGGCTGGGACCACTCAAGCAAAGGCATGATCTTGTAGGGAAGAAGCTGCATAACTACACAGATCTTAGTAGAAATAGGAGACATAACTTCTTGGTTCCACTCTGTGAAGTAGCACTTAAAAAATCTCGTAGGTCCCAAACAAGTCAAGGACTGCCTAGCAGGGAAAGGAAAGGCCAGTGTTATTCTGAAGCACTGTGAGTGCTCTGAAAGGGGCAACACAAACTTGTCTACTAGCAATTGTATGAAACTAATGCCCACCTACTTGGTGGAGACCCGCCGAGATATACGCCTCTGAAAAATGTAATTACTGAATTTTACATCCTAGTTATGTTGGTCTAGGGTAGTACATATTGAGGGCAACCCAACAGGATTCACTCGAATACAAGGTTTAATTAAATTGTGGAGACACAAGTAAATAGAATCACAGAATCACAGAAGATGCTGAGTTGGAAGGGACCCGCAGTGACCATCGAGTCCAGCCCTTAGCCCTGCATCGGACTGTCCCCAAGAGTAACACCATGTGCCTGAGAGTATTGTCCAAATAATTAAGATACAAATTACTGCTTGTAATTCCATTTCTGGAACCACTAAATTGTCCAATGCATGGAATTTTCTTTCACAGTCCTTTCTCATGCTCCGTATTGTTTCTGCATATCAGTAGTTTTTACTGAGGCCCTAATTACTCAGCAACATCACACAGGAGTGGACTGCTAAAATATAGAGCAGAATTTCCTCCCTAGGGCAAGTAATGTGTTGGAACAACAACACAAATTCTTTTCATGACTTGAAGAAGAACATACCCAACAGCTTAAAAGCCTTCATGAGGTAGAATCTGAATGCCCTAGTGATGAATACTTACACAGGAGTTTACAC